GGTTCCTTTGCACCCAACCGAGGTACTTCTGACGCACGCACGCACGCACGCACGCGTGTGGCTGATCTCTCCCCAATGACCACAGGTTACCTGTACATCACGATTATCAATAACGTCTCCATCACGGTACCGCACGCAGCGCGCCTTTTGCGAGCCATGCCCTCAGCTCAGACGACTGACGATGCACACGTGTACGCACCTGCGATGGACATGCGTGGCACGTGCAGGTGGCGATGTACTACCTGGTCATGTTCTACGAAGCTCTCGCTGAAGATCTCAAACCCTTCCGTCCTGGTGCGTAGCTGCCTTACGCCCACCGCGACTGCAGTGTTTAAGAGCAAGGGACTTGGCAGGCCTAACAACAACAACTACAACAGTGGCCAAGTTTCTATGCGTGAAGGCGGTCATCTTCTTCGCGTTCTGGCAGGGCGTTGCCATTGCCATCCTTGCTCACTTCGGTGTGCTCCACGATGTACGTCGACTGGCAGCCACTGCTCAAGGCGGGGGCCATTATGATCATTCATTATTACTTGTTAGTTTTGGTTGGTTGGTTGGTTGGTTGGTTGGCGGATAAAGGAAGAAGGATTAACGTGCGCCGTGTGTCCATTTGTGGTGTGGGGCAGGTGGGCAAATGGACGTCGGAGGACGTGGCGCGCGGGCTGCAGGATTTTATCATCTGCGTCGAGATGTTGCCCATGTCTCTCGCGTTTGCCTATGCCTTTGGTGCGCGATCTTTCCTCGAGCCCGACTCCACGCACCTGCTCTCCGAAATTGAGGGACTGGGCAACGTGCTCAAGAACTACCGGGTACTACCGCCACACCCGCCTCCGCGCGCTTGGCTGGCGTGCTCTTTTGGCCGGCACCACGTAGGATGGGACTCTGCTGACTCCCTCGTTCGCGCCTGCCGCGGTGGGGCACGCAGGAGCTGCAGCACAACTTCGCGCCGGTCATGCAGAACTTCCGGGACGTGGCCGACGTGCGAGACGTGCTCGGGGACACCTACCGATCGTTCGCCCAGGGACCCCGCCGGCACGTGGTCGCCGCCGACTTCCTCTCGCTCTCGCCCGAGGAGCAGCTCCTGCGGGTGGTGAAGCAGGGCTGGCTCATGAAAGGCGGCACCATCAACAAGCTCGTACGCCCACGTCACCTCCCCGTTTTCTGTCGTTTTGGATCGGCCGCAGTTCTTGCATCGATCTCACGACCAGGACCTTTTCACTCACTCACCCACTCACTCACTCACGCTCTCGTTGTAGTGGAAAAAGCGCTGGGTGGTGTTCATCAACAACCCGTGGGGCATCTTGTACTACGAGAAGAGTCCCTTCGTCAGCGAAGACGACGACGTACCCATCTCCTGAGGAGTCATTCGGGTTATGGTACATCTCTCTAACATTCGAGGGACGTGCAGGCCACCGACTCAGACGACGAACTCGCCATGCGAATGCAGAAGCGCGCCAAGCTTCTGGCCAAGAAGGTGCTCATCAAGGACATGGACGAGCACCATGAGAACCAGCGCAGGCCCCTCGCCTTCATAGATTTGACCAATGGTACTCCTCCTCCAAACCCTCTCTGCGACGCAAACGGTTCAATGGAGTGGCCTCATCTGCCTGCTGACCCCCCGAGTGCATGCACAGTCAGCAAAGTCGTGGACACCTCGCGGCGAGGCCTCCTCACATTTTGGCGCGTGGAGAACACCTTCTGCCTCGTCACCGTGAGCACGGGGCGCATCTACACCTTCCTCGCCTCCTCGCCTCATGTACGCGCCCCTTTGTCCGGTCCCCGCACGAACGCCTGCGTGACCTACTCACTCTCTGGCCTCCTCCTCTGGACCGCCACCCCCCCCCCACCTCCCCCCCACTCCCCAATTGTATACAGGAAGTGGCCGAGTGGAAGGCTGTGCTGGAGCAGGGCCTGGAGGCCGTGGCCTCGGCGCCCGACGCCCTGGCTCACGCCGACTCGGATCTGGAGGCCAGCTTCGACGAAGACTCCATCAACTATGGCACCATTGCCGCTACTATTTAACACGCGCGCGTGCCCCTCCTCGGGGGAAGCGCTTCACATCTACCGACGATGTACATATAATAATGAAGAAGAAGGAGCACCACGCCAACCGTCCCCGCAGGGCCGTGTTTTCTTCTTCTTGTGCTAGTGTGGAGTGCGTGAATGAGGGGCAATTTTTTGTGCCATTTCATTTATCCGCATCATTCCGTTTATTTTGATTTTCATTTATTGCCCCTCCGCAGCCCCCCAGCCTCCGCCCCGCGTCGCCCGTGGTGGGGAGTCAAAAAAGCAGACGCGTCCCCTCTACCACCGACAAGCCACCCTGGGACTCTTCCTCTCCCTCGCACTCGAGTGCGGCGGAAGATGATGATGGACGCGGCCTCCACGGGACCAGGAAGCGGAACTGCCCCTTCCTCGGCCATCGTGTTTATCCTGGGCTCCGATGTGGTGGCCAAGGACTCCCTCCGCATCGCCTTCACTCAACCTCTCACCTCCACCCGCAACGTACTCCCCTTCCCCTTTTTCACCACCTCGCTTCGTTCTTTGTTTGTTTGTTTGTTGCCCCCCCCCCGAGAAAAAAATCTTCCCACTAACATCCCTTCTCTGTGGTGGCCGCGCGTGTAGCCTCTTCGAGAAGCCAACACCAAGTGCGAACGGTACGACCCAACAGATTGGATTTTATTTTATTTTTTGCTGCAAATCGGTCTGGCGGCAGGCCAACGTTTCCCAAACGTTTTGCGGATGCAGATCGCTGGAGGTCGATGGCCGCCGCTGGAACCTCCGAGTACACAATGAAGGCCGTCGCTTCACAGAAGGTGCCCCTCTCCCAACTAAATCCACGACGCCACACATCTTTCCTCCTCACGCCCTGAACCCTTCCAATCTATCCACCTCTTGCCTGCCTGGGTGGCCTACTCACACGCGTGGTGTGTCATGTGTGTCGTGTGTGTCGTGTGTGTGTGTGACGGCAGTGTCGCGCGAGCTGTTCATCCGCAGTGCTGACGCCTTCGTGCTGGCCTTCAACGTGGGTGTGCGCTCCTCGTTCCTCGACCTCCACGCCATCTGGGACGAACTGCACCGGCACGTGCACCCACTCACCCAGGCACCGCCACATGGCAATGTGTTCCCTAGCTCCCCACGTCGCCTGTCTGGCCTGTCTGGTCTGTCTGTCTAACCAGAGGTCCGTGGCGCGTGCACGTTGGGTGGGTGGGGTGGGTGTGGGTGTGCAGGGTACGGGGCGAGGAGAGGGTGCGGGCCAAGGCCCTGGTGGCCTTCCGTGCCGGGGAGCGCGGCGGTGAGGGTGGCGCAGGCGGGCGGGAGGAGGTGAGCCAGGACGAGATGGAGGCCCTCGCGCGGGAGTGGGGCTGTCCGCTGTTCGAGTACTGCCCACGCTCGCCCCACCACCACCACCACCCGGACCCCGTGTTCATCGACCTCGTGCGCCAACTCCCGGATCCCTCCACCACCAGCACTACCAGCACCAGCACCAGCAGTTCCGCCTCCTCCACATCTTCATCCACATCGACGTCCACCGCCACCACCGCCGCGTCATCAACGGCAGCGGCGGCGGCAGGGTCGGACCGCAAGAGCGGACGGTCCAAGTCACACAAGGGCCTCAAGAGCCTCATCCGCTCCTCCAGTCCCTCCTCCTCCTCCAAATCGCGCGATGCCTCCTCTGCTCCCTCGTCTCCATCGCCTCCCACACTATCCTCCTCCTCCTCCTCCTCTTCGTCGTCGTCGTCGTCGTCGTCTACAACCACGTCCTCCTCATCCTCCTCCTCGTCGTCGTCGTTGTCGTCCATGTCCAAACATCGTTCGCGTACGGCCAAGCTACAGCGCAAGGAAGAGCGCGACCGGGTCGCTTCCTCCTCTGCTGGTACCCCTCCCATCCCCCCCTCATCATATTTATATTTTACATCTTTTTTTAAATCCACATGCGCGCACACACGCACACATACACGCACACACACATCGTGTATACATCATAAATGAATGCATGGCTGCACCCGGTCTATGCGCTCACTCCAATCCCCATTCGCATGCGGCAGAGGTCAAATCGGTGTCGGTGCGGGAGACGCCGCCTCCGGCCCCGCTCTCCCCCGACCTGCTTCCGCCGCACCTGCAGGACGATACGCCCCTTCTTGTACTTGCCCCACCAGCCACCAGCCACCACCAGCCACCACCAGCCACCAATACCACCCCAACCACGCCACCACCGCCGCATGCCCCGCAGCCCCATCATATACCGCGTGTGTGTGGCCTACCGGGGTGCTCCCATCCGCGTGTTCACTTCCGGTTGGCTGACTGGCTGGGTTGCGGTTGGGTTCGTGGTCACACGTCACCAGTCGGAGATGGGCAAGCTGCTGGCCAAGCTGGAGATGCTGCAGTACGAGCAGATATTCGAGGAGCAGGCCATCGACATACCCACCCTCAAGCTCCTCTCCGACGAGGTATATGATTACCCCCCCCCCTATTGCGACCCCCCCACCAGCATCATGTTACCAATGTGTGAGGGGGCCGCTTGTCGCCTGGGTCCTCATCATAGCTAACACACGACACACACACGACACGACACGACACGATCAACGACGTACACGACACACACACACAATCAAATGCAGGATCTGGAGAAGATCGGGGTGCGTGCGCTGGGCCATCGGCGGAAGCTCATGGCGGCCGTGCGGGAGCCCGAGGAGGGGCGCGCCGGAGGCTCCGGCTTGCTGCTGGGTCCCCTCCTGGGCGGGTCCCGCAGTGCGGCGGGGCAGCAGCTGCCCAGCCACGCCCGCTCGGGGGTGGCCATGATCGACCACGACGACCTCGTGCTGGGCGAAAAGCTCGGCTCCGGCTCCTTTGGCGCCGTCTACCGCGGCATCCTGCGGGGCACCACCCAGGTCGCCGTCAAGCAGCTCAAGGACGTCGATAACCAGGCCGCCCTCCTCGCCGAAGCCCGCCTCATGGGGTACACACACACACACACACACACACACACACACACACACACACACACACACACACACACCACACATGGCACCACTTGCGTGTGTCGTGCGTATGCGGTGTGTGGCGTCGTGCGCTTGCAGATGATCACTCGTCGTGTGTGTTTTGTATGTTGATAACGCAGACGCATCTCGCCGCACTTCAACGTGGTGCGGTTCTACGGCGTGTCGCAGTGGGGCGACCTGCTCAACCTGGTGGTGGAGTACGTGCCCGACGGGTCGCTCGACGAGTACCTGCGGGAGCACATCGACGAACTGCCCCTCAACGTGCTCATCGACATGTGCAAGAACGTGGCCTCTGGTATCTCTCTCTCTCTCTCTCCACACACACACACACACACACACACACACACACACACACACACACATGCATACCATTCCATCACTTCCCCACAGGGTGACCGTTGCTGCCAAGCCAAGCCAAGCCTGACGCGTGTGTTTGTGGTGTTGTGTGTTTGTGGTGGTGGTGGTGGGGGGGGGGCAGGGATGGAGCACCTGCACAAGCACAACATCGTGCACCGGGACCTGGCGGCGCGCAACCTGCTGCTGGACAAGCGGCAGCACGGCATGCACACGATCAAGGTGTGCGACTTTGGGCTGTCGCGTGCACTCGAGGACACCTACTACCGCGCCACCCACTCCAAGATGCCCGTCAAGTGGACCAGCCCGGAGGCCATCCGCTACCGCAAGTTCACCTCCAAGAGCGACGTGTGGAGCTACGGCGTCACCATCTGGGAGGTACGACACACACGACACACGCACACGACATACAATGGCACACTGCTCACGCGTGTGTGGCGCTATGGTGATCGCCATCGTCATGTGGTCCGGTGTGCGCCTACATCCCATCCCCATCCCACCCCATCCCACCCCATCCCCATCCCATGCGTATGTCCAGATATTCAGCTACGGGGAGATTCCCTACAGCACCATCTCCAACCAGGAGCTGCTCGACCACCTGGACAAGGGCTACCGCCTGCCCTGCCCCGCCGCCTGCCCCCGCAAGCTCTACCTCCTCATGCTGTACGCTGCTCCATCGACGACCTCCCCACCCACCACCCCCTCCGCACACTTCCACCACCCCCCCCCAATCTACTACCCTCCAAACGTGTGCGCACTCACACTCGACACTCGCCACACGCACACTCGACACACGATCGTGGCGGCGACAGGCGGTGCATGGACGAGGACCCGGAGCGGCGTCCGTCGTTCTACGAGATCTACCGGGAGCTGCAGCTGTACCAGAAGGAGCTCATGTCCAAGGTGCGCATCCGGAACTACTACGAGGACATGGACGGGCAGTACACGAGCGTCATCTTCTTCGACAACCAGATCCTCGCCGAAGTGCGCAAGGAGGACCAGCTCGTATGCCCACCCCCACCCCCACCCTCCCCCCCGCGCCTTCTTCTTCTTGGCGCCTTTTAGCTGGCTACCCCCCCTGCGGCGGCGGCGGAGGGGGTGTGCGTTCATGTGCCGCGGACACTCGTGTGACGCTGCTTACCCCCTGGGGGGCGGGCGGGCTGCGTGTGGTGCGGATGCGCAGCTGCAGAACGAGGCCGATGGCGACACGGGGGGGCGCCACACCGAGAACGACGAGGGGCACGACGACGACGAGGAGGGCGAGGGCGAGAAGGAGATCTCGTTCAGGCCCGCCCCGCTCCGCGCGTCCTTCTCCACGCCGGGCCTGCCCTCCGTCGAACCCTGCCCCCCGCGCCTCACCCGCAGCGTTGGCGTCAAGTACATTCCCCCCCCCCAATCCCCACCCCCGCCCCCATCCCTCCTCGCTCTCTCATGAGCAGCAGCAGCAGCAGCAGCGTCACCCTTGGTTGGGGTGGGGTGGGGTGGGGTGGGCTCCTACTCCCCCCTCCCCTCTTCAATTGGCTGACGTCTGTCCGTTGGTGGGGTGGGGCTGGGCTGGGCAGGAATCTGCTCAAGAGCCGAAGTTCGGACGACAAGGTGCCGAGCTCGCGCATGATCGAGTTCCCGGCGGGCCTCAAGAAGCAGCGTCCCAAGGCGCGCAGCTTCCCCGAGACCCCCAGCCACCTGGTCACCAAGAAGGCTGGGGCGGCACACCCCTCCTCCGCGTCTCCTCCCGCCTCCGACCAGCCCCACCACCACCACGACCACGACCACCACCACGGCGGCGACGACGACGGCGACGGCGACGCGGACTTCTACGGTACTACCCCCCAAATGCTCGTGCAGCTGCCTCTTCTTCCCCCGCCTCGCCTTCTCACGGGTTGTCGTCGTGTCGTGTCGCGTGCGGTGGTGCGTGTCGCGTGTCGTCTGGTGGCGGTGGACATGCACTGGGCAGGCGCGCTCAAGTTCACTCTCGAGACGCGAATAGACTGCCGCAAGGTGCCGGCGTCGGACGACGAGCCCCTGGGCGGCATCCAGTGCCTGCTGCGGGTGCACGATCGGGTGTGGTGCGGCCACGCCAAGGGACACATCTCCATCTGGGACGCACGGGTACCACCACCCGACCCACCACCAGCCACCCCACTCGTCCGGCCCATTTTATGCCGCCGCCGCCGCCGCCGCCGCCGCTGCTATGGGTCGGTTGGTGTGGGCGACCTCTCTTAACGACCTCTTCATGCGGCGGTGGCGGCTCGTGGTGGCTGGTGTGATGCAGAGTGGGAGCTTCCTGGCCAAGATCCAGGGGTCGGTCAAGGAGAAGGAGAAGATCTACAGCCTGCTGCTGGTCGAGGGCAAGGTGTGGAGCTGCTCCGACGAACGCTACAGCAAGTGCGTCATTCGCATCTGGGACGCACACGACGTACGTCGACCCCCACTCCCAAGCAGCAGCAGCAGCAGCAGCCGCAGCCGTGAATTCGTGCTTTGTGGGTTGCCGACGCTTCGCCAAGTGCTGACTGGTATATGATTGGGGGGGGACCAAACAAACAAACAAACAAACAAACAAAACCACAACAGTTGTCGCAGGTGGGCGAGCTGCGGGGGCACGAGAGCATGGTGCGGTGCATGGCGGTGGTGCAGATGCAGACCGGGAGCGTGATCGGGGGCGGGTCCACGCTCTCCCGCTCAGCGCCGGTGAGTTCGCTGCGCACGAGCACGCACGTGTGGTCGGCCGACGTACAGGGGAACATCATCATCTGGGATCCGCTCCGCATGGCCGCCGCACGCGAGGTGGCGGTGGCGCGCGGCGAGGCCATCTTCTCGCTGTGCCAGGTGGGGCGCTCCGTGTGGATCGGCACCTCGGGCCAGATCTTCTCCGTCGACCTCCAGACCTTTGCCATGTTCAACTGGCGCGGCCACGAGCGACCCATCAACGACCTCATCTACCACGACGGCCTCGTGTGGACCGCCTCCAACGACGGCACCATCAAGGTGACCACCACCAGCCCACCCACCATCACCACCTCACCAGCATCACCACCCACGACCACCACCCGCCACCAGCCACCGCCACCGCCACCACGACGCCGTGACCCCCCCCTCTGCTAACACGGCAGCACGGCGCGCCCCGTGGGTGTAGGTGTGGGAGGGAGGGAGCACCCCGCAGGACGTGCACCTGGTGAAGGAGTTCAACGTGCTCCCGGGCTCCATCCTGTGCCTCCACAGGTTCGCACTGGCCAACGGAAAGCACCTCATCTGCGGAGGACACACCGACGGAGCCATCCTCGCGTGGAACCCCCAGGTGCGTACCCCCCCCCTTCATACGTTCGTTCCCCCAAGGCCCTGTCGCTCATGGGTGGCCTCCCGTTGGCGACGGCGTGTGTGCGTGTGTGTGTGTGCGTGCGTGTAGAACGCGGGCGAGGTGGCACGGTTCGGAGAGCAAGAGAGCGGAGTGCGCAGCCTCCTATGGGTGGAGGGAAACACCGCCCACCACCTGGACGACACCGGGGAGCCCTCGCGCAGGCTGGCATTGTGGGCGGGGTCCCGCGACGGCACCATCCACGTGTGGCAGCTCGAAGGGAGTGAGTAAGTCTCAGCGCTGCACCGCAGTCGTCGACTGCCAGCGCCATCCCATCCCTGGAAGTCTCCTCGCCCGTCTCCTTCCCCCGATGGGGGATGATGCTATGGGCTCACCTTTCCTTCCCCCACTCACCACGCCTCCCTCATTAGCCCCACTTGCGCTTCTTCTTCTTCAGCCGTGCTTTTTATTCGCTCGGGGCGGGGGGCCGATCCGCCGCGGGAGTAGAATCGTTATTATTGTCCCTTTGGTGTCGCTTTCGTGGCCTCTTGTCGAGGTTGGCCGTGGGCGCCTTGAAGAAGCCGTTCTCGTCGAGGTTGAGCGCGGCGATCTTCTTGGCCGTTGTGGCTTCGTTGAGGTGCGCAAGCACGTCCTCCTCCTTGGCTTCGTACTCGGACAGCTTCATGCCCATGCGGCCCTCAATCGTAAGCAGCCTCTCCACGTCGTTCTGTCGCGCCGATCAACACACGACACACAACACCGATTACGTGGGGTTGAGTTGCGCGCCCTGCGGCAAGGGCGGCGCAGGGTGTAGGGTTTCTCGCCGCGAGGGCGTACCTGCGTGACAAGCGTGATGGCCGTTCCGGGCCGACCTGCGCGCGCCGTACGTCCCACCTACAGTGCGCGCGCCCTCAGCCTTGAGTTGAGCAGAGGGTGTGTCGTGTGTGTGTCGTGTGTTTTGCGTACTCGGTGGATGTAGTCCTTGGCTGCGCCGGGCACGTCGTAGTTGATGACCACTCCCACGGTGGGGATGTCCAAGCCTCTGGATCACGGCCAGGTGAGCGAGGGCGGGGCCATATTTAGGGGACCCCCCAATGGGGAGGAGGGCAACCACCGGGGTGGTGGGGATTTGGGGGCCTACCGCGACGCGACGTCGGTGGCGACGAGCACACGCACGATCCGGCTCTTGAACCGCCGCAGGGATTGGTTGCGTTGGTTCTGCGCGATGCGCGAATGGAGAGGCGCAGAGGGGACGTCGAGCAGCCGCAACGTCTCGGCGAGCAGCTGCGCCGCATTGCACGTGGAGGCGAACACGATGATCTGCTCGGGCAACGCCGGCGGCGCGGGGGCCGGCTCGGCGAGGAACGTGCGCAGGAGGTAGACCAGATAGCAGTCCTTGATGCGCGCTGGCATGAACATGTACCGCTGCAAAAACAACATCCGCCCCGCCCAACAATCAGCCCTCCGCGCGCGTCTCGAGACCACGCACGCACACACGCACACGCGCCGCCGTCGTGGTGGTGGGGAGGGCGCGGAGGTAGTGAACCTGGTTGAGGGTGTCGAGAGGCTGGTATTTGACGGTGGCTTCGAAGCGGAAGGCGTTCTGTCCGATGACGTGCTCCAGCTTGCGGAGCGACGAAGTCATGGTGGCGGAAAACAGCAGCGTTTGGCTGCCAATCGGAGGAGGAGGAGGAGGAGGAGGAGGAGGCACCACACACGTGATGGAGGCGCACGCACGCACGCACGCACGCACGCACGACATCATTGGAAGCATCAGGTACTGCGACTACGACGACGACGACGACGACGACGTGGGCGCTGCAACGGTACCGTTTGGCGGGGAGGACGGGGAGGAGCTGGCCGAGGGCGGGGGCGAAGGCGGGGTCGAGCAGGCGATCGGCCTCGTCGAGGACGAGGAAGCGGAGGCCCGCCACGAGGCCCCGGTGGTCGTCCTGCAGGAGCAGGTCGACGAGCCGCCCCGGCGTGGCCACCACGATGTGCGGCCGCTTGGAAAGCAGCTGGCTCTGCTTGGTACGCTCCATGCCACCCACCACCAGCGTGACGCGTGCCGAGATGGCCGCCCCGAGCGCGCGGAACTGCTCCGCGATTTGCATCGCCAGCTCTCTGCGCGCGCGGACAACACGACACAGCCCAACACACACACACACGTGGTGGACCGGTTAGCACCACCAGCACCGGCACCACCGCCGCGGCCGCCACCAGCGGTACCCCGGTGGTTACAAACGCATCCGCTAGCGGTGCTCACTTCACTGGGTCGCGCGTGCGTCCGGCCGCAGGGGGGGGGTGGAGGAGGAGGAGAAGCGGGGGGTGGGGTGGGGTGGG